CTTTATCTTTTGGTAAGTTTTTGGGATGACTGATACTGGTTGTTCCTTTCTGTGTGTAGTGCTTCTTTTAGAAGCTCTTGTAAAACAGGCCTGGTGGTGATGAAATCTCTGAGTGCTTGCTTGTTTGTGAAAAATTTTATTTTTCCTTCATTTATAAAGCTTAGTTTGGCTGGATATGAGATTCTGGGTTGAAAATTCTTTTCTTTGAGGATATTGAATATTAACCCCCACTCTCTTCTAGTTTGTAGGGTTTCTGCTGAGAGATCTGCTGTAAGTCTGATAAGCTTCCCTTTATGGGCAACCTGACCTTTCTCTCTAGCTGCCCTTAGAATTTTCTCTTTTATTTCAACCCTGGTGAATCTAACAATTATGTGTCTTGGGGTTGCTCTACTTGAGGAATATCTTTGTGGTGTTCTCTGTATTACCTGGAGATGAGTATTGTCCCACCTTACTAGGTTAGGGAAGTTTTCCTGAATAATATCCTGAAGAATACTTTCCAGCTTGGATTCATTCTCTTCATGACATTCAAGTACACCTATCAAATGTAAATTAGGTCTTTTCACATAGTCCCATATTTCTTGGAGACTTTGCTCATTCCTTTTTACTTTTTCTTCTCTAATCTTGTCTTCTCGTTTCATTTCATTAAGTTGGTCTTCAACCTCTGATATCCTTTCTTCTGCTTAATCAATTCGAGTGTTCAAACTGGTACATATTTCTCGGAGTTCTCATATAGTATTCTTCAGTTCCATTAATTCACTGATATTCCTCTCTAAATTGTCTATTCTCATTAGAATTTCATCAAATCTTTTTTCAGAATTCTTAATTTCTTTACATTGGGCTAGAACATGTTCTTTAAACTCACAGAAGTTTCTTATTATCCACCATCTGAAGCCTAATTCTGTTATTGGGATACACTCGTTTTCCATCAGGCCTTGTTCCCCTGTTGATGAGGAACTGTGATCCTTTGTAGAGGGAGAGGCATTCTGATTTTGGGTATTCTCAGCCTTTTTACACTGGTTTCTTCCTATGATTGGGTGGATGGGGGCTGGATGGACAGGCATGACCACTGGCAGCATCAGGCAACACTGCCCTTACACCAGGACAACCCTGGCCTTTGTCCTGAGCTCTGCTCTTAAGAGGACGCTAACAAGCCAAATTTAACAACATGTTACATCATTCACTGTGATCAAGTGGGATTTATCTCTAGGATGCAAGGATGGTTCAGCAAATGAAATCAATAAACATGATATACCACATTAACAGAATGAAGAAAAAACATCGTGATCATTTCACTATATGCAGGAAAAGCATTTGACAAAACTTAACATTCTTTCATGCTAAAAACTCTCAACGATTAGGTATAGAAGGAATGTGCCTCTACACACTAAAGTCCACATCTGAGCAATCCACAGTTAACACCGCACTCAGCAGGCAAAAGCTGAAGCCTTTCCTCCCTTTCTTATCTGAAACAAGACAAAGATGCCCATGCTCACTACTTCTATTCAATATAGTACCATAGGTCCCAGCCAAACAATTAGCAAAAGGTGCCAAGAATATGCAGTGGAAAGTGAGTGGTCTCTTCAATAAATGGTGTTAGAAAAACTGGATATCCACATGCAAAAGAATGAAATTGGACCTTATCTCACATTACATACAAAAACCAACTTAAAATGGATTACAGACTTAAACACAAGACCCGAAACTGTAAAACTTCTATAATAAATCAGAGGTGATAGACATTTCTCATAAGAAGACATAAATGGCTAAGAGATACATGAAAAAAATGCTTAATCTTACTGACCATTGGGGAGATAAAAAGTAGCCACTTGCCAGCCTGGTGGCTCACACCTGTAATCCCAGCACTTTTGGAAAGAGGCAGGCAGATCACCTGAAGTCAGGAGTTCAAGACCAGCCTGACCAACATGAAGAAACGTTGTCTCTACTAAAAATACAAAATTAGCATGCCTGTAATCCCAGCTACTCCGGAGGCTGAGGCAGGAGAATCTCTTAAACCCGGGAAGTGGAGGTTGCAGTAAGCTGAGATTGCACCATTGCACTCCAGCCTGGGAAATGAGAGTGAAATTCTGTCTAAAAAAAAAAAAGGTAAAACCACAATGAGATCACCTTACACCTGTTAGGATGGCTATTACCAAAAAGACAAAAGACAACGATTGTTGGCAAGGATGGAGAGAAAAGAAAACCATAGCATACTGTTGGTGGGAATGTAAATGAATACCAGCATCATGAAAAACTGTATTGAGGCTCCTCAAAAAACTAAAAATAGAACTACCATGTGACCCAACAATCCCACTTCTGGGTATTTACTCAAAAGATTTGAAGTCTGTTTGTTGAAGAGATGTCTATACTCCCATGTTGGCTGCAGCAGTTTTAACAATAACCACGTTACAGAATCAACCTAAGATAAAGAGGACTGTGGAATATATGTACAATGCAATATGATTCAGCTTTTAAAAAGGGAAAATTCTGTCATTTGCTCTAACGTGAATGGAACCAGAGACCATCATGTGAAGTGAAATAAGCCAGGCACAGAAAGCCAAACGCTGCATGCTCTCACCTGTATGTGGAATCTAAAATAGTTTAACTCACAGAAGCATGAATAAGTAGCATGATGTTTACCAGAGGCGGGGAAATGAGGGGAATGGGGAGATGATAGTCACAGGGTACAAAGCCTCAACTAAATAGGAAGAGTAAATTTATTTTTAGATCAATAGCATGGCATGCTGAAGATAGCTAATACTTGAGTACTATACATTTTAATATCTCTAAGAGTAAATGGCCAATATCCTCATCACAAAAAACATTTGAAGTGATAAATATGTTAAAAAAAGACTTTAATAAAGTAAGACAATTTCTCAAAAAAGATAACATATTCTAATGCAGATACAGGATATACATTAATTCCTGAAAAAAAAATGTCAGGAATAGGCAGAGGTTTATTTGACACCGCAAGACAGTAGAATATGAAGCAGTATTGATTTCTGTAGCCTTGTAGTACAGTTTGAAGTCAGGTAGCATGATGCCTCCAGCTTTGTTCTTTTTGCTTAGGATTGTCTTGGCTATGTGGGCTCTCTTTTGGTTCCATATGAAGTTTAAAGTGGGTTTTTTTCCAGTTCTGTGAAGAAGGTCATTGGTAGCTTGATAGGAATAGCGTTGAATCTATAAATTACTTTGGGCAGTATGGCTATTTTCACAATCCTGATTCTTCCTAACCAGGAGCATGGAATGTTTACCCATCTGTTTGTGTCCTCTCTTATTTCCTTGCACAGTGATTCATAGTTCTCCTTGAAGAGGTCCTTCACATCCTTTGTTAGTTTTATTTCTAGGTATTTTATTCTCTTTGTAGCTATTGTGAACTGGTACCAAAACAGATACTTAGACCAATGGAACAGAAAAGAGGCCTCAGAAGAAATGCCACACATCTACAACCATCTGTTCTTTGACAAACCTGACAAAAACAAGCAATGGGGAAAGGATTCCCTGCTTAATAAATGGTATTGAGAAAACTGGCTAGTCAAGGGCAGAAAGCAGAAACTGGACCCCTTCCTGACCCCTTACACTAAAATTAACTCCAGATAGATTAAAGACTTGTAAGACCTAACACCGTAAAAGCCATAAAAGGAAACCTTGGCAAAACCATTCAGGTCATAGGCACAGGCAAGGACTTCATGACCAAAACACCAAAAGCAATGGCAACAAAAGCCAAAATTGACAAATGGGATCTAATCAAACTCCACAGCTTCTGCACAACAAAAGAAACAATCATCAGAGTGAACCAGCAACAAACAGAATGGGAAAAAATTTTTGCAATCTACCCATCTGACAAAGGGCTAATATCCAGGATCTACAAAGAACTAAAACAGATTTACAAGAAACAAACAAACCCATTCAAAAGTGGGCAAAGGATATGAACAGATACTTTTCAAAAGAAGACATTTATGAGGACAACAAACATATGAAAAAATGCTCATCATCACTGGTCATTAGAGAAATGCAAATCAAAACCACATGGAAATACCATCTCATGCCAGTTAGAATGGTGATCATTAAAAAATCTGGAGACAACAGATGCTGGAGAGGATGTGGAGAAATAGGAACACTTTTACACTGTTGGTGGGAGTATAAATTAGTTCAACCATTGTGGAAGACAGTGTGACGATTCCTCAACTATCTAGAAATAGAAATTCCATTTGACTCAGCAATCCTGTTACTGGGTATATACCCAAAGGATTAAAAATTGTTCATTATAAAGACTCTTGCACACATATGTTCACTGCAGCACTGTTTACAATAGCAAAGACCTGGAACCAATGCAAATGCCCATCGATGATAGACTGGACAAAGAAAATGTGGCACATATACACCATGGACTGTGCAGCCATGTTCTTTGTAGGGATATGGATGAATCTGGAAACCATTATTAGCAAACTGAAACAAGAACAGAAAACCAAACACTGTATGTTCTCACTCATAGGGTGTTGAACAATGAAAACACATAGACACAGGGAGAGGAACATCACACACTGGGGTCTGTTGAGGGGGTGGGAGTCTAGGGGAGGGACAGCAGGGGGTAAGGAGGTTGGGATAACATTGGGAGAAATGCCTGATGTAAGTGATGGGGGGATGGAGACAGCAAACCATCATGGCATGTGTGTACCTATGCAACAATCCTGCAAGATCTGCATATGTACCCCAGAGCTTAAAGTACAATAAAAAATATGAAGCAGTCTACCACACAATAAAATCAGGGCACTTAAGGCATTACTAAGCATATCAATAAGTAAATGGACATATTACTAAATATAGATATTCCTAAATATCTCACCTTTAATAACTTGCCTACGCCCATTACTAGCATGTAAATGGACATAGGCAAGAGTATTGGGGTTCTCTAGAGGGATAGAACTAACAGAATAGATACATACAAAAAGGGAAGTTTATTAAGTACCAAGTCACATGATCATAAGGTTTCGCAATGGGCTGTCTGCAGGCTGAGGAACAAGGAGAGCCAGTTCGAGTTCCAAAACTAAAGAACTTGGAGTCTGATGTTCAAGGGCAGGAAGCATCCAGCGTGGAAGAAAGATGTAGGTGGGAGGCTAGGCCAGTCTCTTTTCACATTTTTTCTGCCTGCTTATATTCTATCCCCACTGGCAGCTGATTAGGTTGTACCTCGAGATTAAGAGTGGGTCTGTCTTCCCAAGCCCACTGACTTAAATGTTAATCTCCTTTGGCAACTTCCTCACAGACACGCTGAGGATCAATACTTTGTATCGTTCAGTACAATCAAGTTGATACTTAGTATTAACCATCTCTGCAAGTTATTAAAGGTAAGATACTTAGGATGTCATTTAACCTCTCTGTACCTGAGTTTTCTAAATTTGTGTGAAAACAGCACCTAAGAATTAAAGGACTTAGTGTGTAAAGAGCTCAGAACGTAGGGATCACCTTGTAAGTGTTAACTATTGTCTATCTTCTCTGAATTCTGTTAAGCCTTTCAGTCCTCTACTTATGCTTTTCTACCTTGTTTTCTGGCAGTTAAGACTTTAATAAAGCAAGACAGTTTTCACAAAAGGAATAACATATTCTAATGCAGATTCAGGATGTACATTAATTCCTAAAAGAAGGTCAGGAATAGGCAAAGGTTTATTTGACACTGTAAGACTGTAGAATATGAAGCAGTCTACCACATAATAAAATTGGGGCACTTATGGCATTATAATTAGGTATTTTTAAAAGTAGAAATGAAAAGTTTACTTTGAATATTACAATAAGTTGTATCACTTTATGGTTGAGTAGCATTTTAAAGTTTTTTTTATATGTAATTTCAATGAGTTTCCTCTCTCAAAGAAGTGAGCTTGGTAGGTATATCAAGAAGTATTTTAAAGTAGGATTTGGAGTCTTATTAAAGTGTAATGACTTGTTCAGAAGTATTGTTTCTGTCTGGGAAGGAGTTTAAATTGTTGAGCTGTTCAAGATGGAATCACCTTGACCTACACAATCTGTTGATGTCTAACTTTAATTTTTAGCTTCAGGGACTTTAGTTCAAACAATTGTGATGACTTTGGTGTTAATGGATGTTAGCTAGAACAGGAAAGAACACATTTGATTTTCTGATTCTTTTGTTTATCTAATATTTTTGAACATTATGCTAAAAAATAATTTAGTGAAATATGACTCTTCAGATACTTTATAAAATAGGCTGACTTTTTTTTAGGAAGCTAAGGAGGGAAAAAAGACTTTTGAAAGCTTTCTCCCTCTTTTTAAACTTATGAAATACTCCTTATGTTTAGTAAAAAGATTCAGGTTGAATGAGCAGCACTCAACTCTGATGGATTAAAGAGGTGGGATTTTTAATATAACTGTCAATTCTGAAAGGCAAATAATCTCATCATTAAAGACCTTGGCAGTTCAAATTGTTACTGAAGTTTTATGAATGCAAAGGATTGTGTAATTTCAATAAGGATGAAAGCAGCTCATTCCTCTGATTCAGCAACAACAACAAATACTTGGATGCTTCTACTTTTAAAGCAAGTGTGGTTCTCACTTGGGTAGTTGCAGTTGATCAAGCATAACATTTTCTGTACAATCTTTCAGTTTTATTTTTTGGATTTACTACATTAGGGTTAGGTAGGCTCCAAAGGCTAGGATTATGACAGATGATTTTTTTTGTTGTTATTGTTTCTTTAGTAAATGAAACCTATTCTTGGACAGCATAGCTATTTCACACACATTAGAAAGAAGCACTGATTCAGGCCAACACAATGGCCCGAATTAAGGCCAAAATTATTCTTGACCCATCTACCATCCTCTTTGGGTAACTTCCTCCAGATCAGGGCTCTGTCTGTCTTCCTAAGGAACTAACAGTGCTTGTTCCTTCTATTCTAGTTTCTTTTCTCAGGAAGCACTTGGAATATTTATTCACACTAAGCTGTTAGTGGCTTAGGGTTATTTTTCCCTGTGAATAAATTTATATTTTAAAAGAGGCCAGCCCTGGCCAAGTATGGTGGCTTATGCCTGTAATCCCAGCACTCTGGGAAGGTGAGGCGGGCAGACACCTAAGGCCAGGAGTCTGAGATCAGCTGGGCCAACATGGTGAAACCCTATCTCTACTAAAATATAAAAATAAGCAGGGCATAGTGGCAGGTGCCTGTAATCCCAGATACTTAGGAGGCTGAGGCAGGAGAACTATTTGGGAGGCTGAGGCAGGAGAATTGCTTAAACTCAGGAGGCAGAGGTTGCAGTGAGCTGAGATGGTTCTACTGCACTCTAGCCTGGGCTACAGAGTGAGACTCCGTCTCAAAAAAAAAAAAAAAAAAAGTTTAGCCCAAAAGAATATTAATCTCAAATGGTGAAATTTGAGGTGTTTAAAATGGGAAGTTTTTCAGTATCTGTGTATCAGAGTCCTCCTATACCCATTCTGTTGCATAGTAGTAAGCAGTGTGTACCTATAAATAAAACCAGTCCTGTTGGTAAAAAGAAAATTATTAGGAATTTGACATTGTGGAGCATGAGCTATACTATAGGTAGAAGCTGTACGTAAATGAACGTATGTCATTCTTGAAGACTGACTGTGTACCACCATTTTCCTGCTCATCTTAACCTTATTTGTGTCCCTATTTATGATTTTTTAAAGTGTAAAAATCATAAATATAAATGTAAAATTACATTTTAAAATGTAAAAATCATTACATTAAAAAATCATAAATTGAGACACACTTGAAAACTATTTTCTAATTTGTGTTTGTTTAATATAAACAGTCTTCCAAAATATTGCAGTCAAATTAACTTTTAGGTATTTGATGTAATGCTCTTGCTGCAAAGGGAGAAATATCACACAAAATGCTGGACTGAGGGCTGCTGTGGGCAGTGTAGAATTGGTGAGAAGCTGTGGTCTCGGAGTCAGACCGATGTTGGGAAAATGACTTTTTCTTCCCCTTAAACTATGTTACTGAGGTATGGCTGACATACAAAAAGCTGTAGGTATCCAATGCACATAACTCCATGAGTTTGGGGATAAGTACATACTGGTGAAACCATTATCATCATCAAGGCTATGAACACATCTATTATCTCCCAAAGTTTCCTTCTACTCACTTTATTATTATAATTTAAATTATAGTAATATAATTGTAATATGTTTTTGTGGAAAGACCACTTAACATAAGATCTACTCTTTTAGCAGATGTTAAGTATACAAGGCAGTATTGTCAGCTATAGGCACTGCTGTGCAATAGATCTCTAGAACTTATTCATCCTGCACAACTAAAACTTTGTCCCTTTGAACATCCCATCCTCATTTCCCCCTCTCTGCACCCTCTGGCAACCACCATTCAATTCCATACCTTTTTTTTTTTTTTTTTTTTTTTAAGGCAGAGTCTTGCTCTGTTGCCCAGGCTGGAACACAGTGGCCTGATCTCAGCTCACTGCAACCTCTACCTCCTGGGTTTAAGCAATTCTTGAGCCTCAGCCTCCCAAGTGTAGCTGGGATTACTGCTGCATGCAACCACGCCTGGCCAATTTTTATATTTTTAGTAGAGATGGGGTTTTGTCATATTAGCCAGGCTGGTCTGGAACTCTTGGCCTGGAGTGACCCACCTACCTCAGCCTCCAAAAGTGCTGGGATTATAGGCATGAGCCACCATGTCTGGCCTACTCTATACTTATATGAGTTTGATTATTTTAGATCTCACATATAAGATCACACAATATGCTTTTCTGTGTCTTGTTTATTTCACTTAGTATAATGTCCTCCATGTTCACTCATGATAGTGCAAACAGCACAATTTCCTTCTTTGTGTATATACACCACCTTATTCTGTTATGTATGTCCACTACCGTTTCTTTATTCATTCTTCTACTGATGAATATTTAGGTTATTTTTATAGCTTTGCTATTGTGAATAATCCCGCATTATTAGTAAAGATAATAATAAGGTAATAAAGATAAAGATAATCCTGCATTATTAGTGGGAGTAAAGATATCTCTTTGAGGCAGTGATTTTTCTTCCTTTAATTTTGATTCTGTTTTCAGTTTTTTGGATGTATACACAGAAGTAGAGTTGCTACATCATATGGTAGTTCTATTTTTAATATTTTTTTGTTTTTTCCAGTCTTGTTCTCTCACCTAGGCTGGAGGGTACTGGTGTAATCTCAGCTCACTGCAACCTCCACCTCTCAGGTTCAAGCTATTCTCATGCCTCAGCCTCCTGAGTAGCTGGGATTATGGCTGTGCACTACCATGCCTGGCTAATTTTTGTATTTTTAGTAGAGACAGGTTTTCACTACGTTGGCCAAACTGATCTTAAACTGCTGACCTTGAGTGATCCACCAACCTCAGCCTCTCAAAGTGCTGGGATTACAGACATGAGCCACTGCACCTGGCATACTTTTAATTTTTTGAGGAGCCTCCATCCTTTTTTTTTTTTTTTTTTTTTTTTTTAAATAAAGGCTATTCCAATTTACATTCCCTCCAAGAGTGGACGTGGGTTCTTGTTTCTCTACACCCTGGGCCAGAAGGAAACATTGCTGAGCTTTGGTTTTCTCTACTTTAAAATGGGGACAATAATTAGTCCCTCCTTATGTGACTGTTGTGAAGATTAAATGACAATAGGAACGCATGTAAAGCATTTAGTATTGTGCCGGGCACAAATAAAACGCTCTTTCAATTGTATAAATCGTATAATCATACTAATTATAGGAGTTGTTATGATTTAATGGGAAAAATTCGTTAGAGTGGGGACCTTTAGTGTGGGAGGAAAGGAGTAAAAGCGAGATGGTAAAAATCTACAGAAAAAAAATTAGCAAATTCAAGAGCCACTCCTGTGGTCAGTTACACAGAAAAGAGAAGCAGGGACAGAACAAGATGATATGGAGAATGGAACCAATTGCAACAGTAGAATGAGGGAGGACCAGGACATAGTAGAAATAGGACCAGAGTTAAAGATTTTTGCCAAGGCCACACTGGGCACTCTCAGCTGTTAGCTGCTCTATCAGTAGGAACCCTATATTACGGTAATGGCACAATAATAAGAAAATGGTGCCCAGATGAGAAAATTGTAATTACAAGTGGAGCCAAGTATGACTTAATAAGCTCCACCTTGTGGCAAAGGCTTTGAGTCTGTAATGCAAAACCAAGAATGAGGTCTTGAGGGAAATCATTTGTGTAATAAACAAATGTGTCAAGGCCGTCGTTGTTTTGTTTATTTTTTTGTTTTCTTTTTTATTATACTTTAAGTTCTGGGATACATGTATAGGATGTACACGTTTGTTATATAGGTGTACATGTGCCATGGTGGCTTGCTGTACCCATCAATCTGCCATCTACATTA